GAAGGAGGAAGAGATATTTGACATTCAGTACCTTCCTCCCTTGGGTAAAAGTGACCATGTCTTTTTGGGAATAAAGTATGCAATGCGTTATAAGCTGGAAGAAAATAAGGAGGTTGAAGCAGTTGAAAAACCAGACTTCAGGAGAGGACATTATGGTGACCTTAGAAATTTTTTTAGTGAGTATAATTGGACAGACTTGATGCTAGGCAAGGAAGTGAATGAGATGTATGGCAAGTTTTGTGAAATATATGATAAAGGCACAAAAAAATTTATACCAAAACAGAGATGCAGGACCAGAAAACAGGATTGGTTCGACAGAAATTGTGAGAGGGCAAGAGACCAAAAGACACAAAAATGGAATCAGTATAGGAAGAGGCCAAACCCCCAAACATACCAGCGATACAAAGATGCGAGAAACAATTATACAGCAGTAAGGAGAGAGGCAGAAAGAAATTTTGAAAAAGGGATAGCAGATAAATGTAAAACAGAACCGGGCCTATTCTACAAATTCATAAACAACAAATTGCAGGTAAAGGATAATATCCAGAGGTTGGAAATGGGAAACAGATTCACGGAAAATGAAAAGGAAATGTGTGAAACATTAAATGAAAAGTTCCAAAGTGTGTTTGTACAAAATGAAATCTTCAGAGAACCAGACACAATAAGAATTCCAGAGAACAACATAGAGCGGATAGAGGTGTCTAGAGATGAAGTGGAAAATATGCTAAAGGAGCTCGGGAGGAACAAAGCAGCTGGCCCAGATGGCGTTTCACCATGGGTTCTGAGAGAATGTGCATCTGAGCTCAGCATTCCACTTCACCTGATTTTTCAGGCATCCCTGTGTACAGGAATCGTAGCAGACGTGTGGAAACAGGCTAACATAGTTCCAATCTACAAAAGTGGCAGCAGGGAAGACCCCCTCAATTATAGACCTGTATCATTGACAAGTGTAATAGTGAAAGTATTGGAAAAGCTAATCAAAACTAAATGGGTAGAACACCTGGAGAGAAATGATATAATATCAGACAGACAGTATGGTTTTCGATCAGGAAGATCCTGTGTATCGAATTTACTCAGTTTCTATGATCGGGCCACAGAGATTTTACAGGAAAGAGATGGCTGGGTTGACTGCATCTATCTGGACCTAAAAAAGGCTTTCGACAGAGTTCCACATAAGAGGTTGTTCTGGAAACTGGAAAATATTGGAGGGGTGACAGGTAAGCTTCTATCATGGATGAAAAATTTTCTGACTGATAGAAAAATGAGGGCAGTAATCAGAGGCAATGTATCGGAATGGAGAAATGTCACAAGTGGAGTACCACAGGGTTCAGTTCTTGCACCAGTGATGTTTATTGTGTACATAAATGATCTACCAGTTGGTATACAGAATTATATGAACATGTTTGCTGATGATGCTAAGATAATAGGAAGGATAAGAAATTTAGATGATTGTCATGCCCTTCAAGAAGACCTGGACAAAATAAGTATATGGAGCACCACTTGGCAAATGGAATTTAATGTTAATAAATGTCATGTTATGGAATGTGGAATAGGAGAACATAGACCCCACACAACCTATATATTATGTGAGAAATCTTTAAAGAATTCTGATAAAGAAAGAGATCTAGGAGTGGTTCTAGATAGAAAACTATCACCTGAGGACCACATTAAGAATATTGTGCAAGGAGCCTATGCAATGCTTTCTAACTTCAGAATTGCATTTAAATACATGGATGGCGATATACTAAAGAAATTGTTCATGACTTTTGTTAGGCCAAAGCTAGAATATGCAGCTGTTGTGTGGTGCCCATATCTTAAGAAGCACATCAACAAACTGGAAAAGGTGCAAAGACATGCTACTAAGTGGCTCCCAGAACTGAAGGGCAAGAGCTACAAGGAGAGGATAGAAGCATTAAATATGCCAAAACTAGAAGACAGAAGAAAAAGAGGTGATATGATCACTACGTACAAAATAGTAACAGGAATTGATAAAATCGACAGGGAAGACTTCCTGAGACCTGGAACTTCAAGAACAAGAGGCCATAGATTTAAACTAGCTAAACACAGATGCCGAAGAAATATAAGAAAATTCACCTTTTGGCATTTACGGCTTCGGCGGGTATGCGTTTCCACAACGTTATAATTCTATGGGTGAAAACAAATATTTTCCATCCTTCAGTGTGGCTTGTTGAGCTCGAAACCGTTGCTCATTGTTGGTCTTACATCTAGCCTTTTGAAGAAGTGTTCTGGGTCAATATCTTCCAAATTGTTCAGTAATTTAAATGTTTTGCTGAGAGCAGCCCTGTCATGTCTGGTCCCTGTGGCCCTCAACCGTTCCCGGTATGAAAGTTGACTTAGTTCGGGAAAGATTTTAGTCGCCCGGTGTTGAACTTTCTCCAAACCAGATATGTTTTTCTGGAGATGAGGTCTCAATGCGTGGATATAATAATCCAAGTGGAAGCCCACCAGAGATTTATACAGTTGTATAACTACCTTTTCCTTTGTCAAAATTCCGTTTGACTATTCCAAAGGATTTGGTTTGCTTTTATAACTGCAGCTTCCACTTGTTGTACAACTATCAGTGATTGGTGGATTCTGACTCCAAGATAATGTTGATGATTTGGTAGTTGTGCATTGTTATGCCCCACGTGGGTGAAAAAAATCTCCTGTTTTCTGTCCTAAGTTGTGGCTTGTTAAACCTATCCACCGCTGCCCACTGGATGGGGGGGGGGGGCGGTGTGCAGGACAAACATATAAATTGTGACACTAGCTCTCCACATATGTCAATTGCTTAATTTAGAACCTGTACTTGAGGTCGACCTCGAACCCATTGTTGATGTGACGACTTATATTGAGTTTTGTAACTAGCTCATCAAGATTGTAACTTGCTTAGCTAAATGAATTATGGGGTTCAGTCCCTGAGCCCATTATGTGCCTCTGTAACCCTTTCCATTACCACCCACAAGATGGGTATGGGGTGCATAATAAATTAATGAACTAACTACCACAACTTGGCTTATAAACTAATGTATTTTTTGTTAGAAAATGCATTGTATTTTTTTCTAAATAAATAAATATATACATAAGCATACTGTAATAGATATAGTTGAGGATAGTATGTTACCTAGCAGTAAAATAGGTACCTGGGTGTTAGTCAGCTGTCACGGGCTGCTTCCTGGGGGTGGAGGCCTGGTCGAGGACTGGGCCGTGGGGACACTAAAAAAAAGCCCCGAAATCATCTCAAGATAACCTCAAGAGAGGAGTACAATACATCGGTCTTAATAATGCCTCGTACATAAACACAAACTGGAAGCAAACCAGTCATAAACGCGAGATGAAGATGTTCGAGTTTATGCACACTGCGGTAGCACATGGTCTCCAGGACTTTACACAGGTGCCTCTGGAACTTACGGGCGGCTTCCTAGTGAGTTGCTAGGCGTTGGCGTCAGCTTTATGGTCTTCTCTGGCGAAACTTCGGGATGGTTCTTCACAACACAGGCCTCACTCCCCTCTGGATTGGACACTCCTGCCTGGCTGAACATCTCCATCGTCTACGGTTGGTAGATTCCGCCTACTGCCTGAACTGCCTGCGGTGTTTGACCTAGGAATACTGTGGAACACCTTCAGAGTGATTGTTGTTGTTAAAGATTCGCTACCTGGAACAAAGTTCCAAGTAGCACAGGCTATGGTGAGCCCGTAGTGCCTTATTCTTCTGAGTGATTGATTGATGAAGATTAAGCCACCCAAGAGGTGGCATGTAAGTAAGTAGCCCGTAAGAACATCTCCACTGCCCATAGTTTTATAGTGCTCGCATCAGACAAGAGTGCTCTCTGTAGGCTGCATATTCCCTGCCTTACGGTTCCCGTTGTCTTCGACGGGGCAGATGCAAGATAACGACGTCCATTATGACATCCTTCGCCATACCTTCAGCTTCAGTGGGCACGTCTGTGGCCTGAAGAGGCTGTAGGAATCACATCCCTCTTCGCTATTTCCCAGTATCGGGCAGCCGATCGTCATCGCCCCTCTTATCAACAATGGTATGTTGTTATATACATTTAATTACAAAAAATTACAATGCATTTTGTATACAAAATTTAATATGTTTATGGTTCATTGGACAGTAATTATCAAGAGAAGGCACCAAGATTGATCGATGAAGATTAAGCCACCTAAAAAGTGGCACGGGCATGAATAGCCCGTAAGTGGTGGCCCTTGTGAGCAATTACCAGTGTCAAGAGCTGATACTGGAGATCTGTGGAGGTGCGATTGCACCCTGCGTGACGGGAGATGTCTCCCGTCGAGAAGGCACCAAGCTGGGAAGACTATATCTAACCCTGTCTGTGTTGTGGGACATCCAGAATGTGCTGTATATCACTCAGGATATCAATACAGCACAATAAAAGTTTGCCTGAAACACTATGCGTATTAGTGGCTATAAGGCATTGTATGTACTAGCTCTATCTAGAAATCCAACATTATGTTTGTAACTCACCTTGTATATATGTACTTTTACCTGAATAAACATTTGATTTGATTTGATTTGAAAAGAACATAAGGCAAGTAACATCATATATCAGATTCACCAAGGACAAGCAACCCAGAGGTACATTATTGAAATAAGACTTACGACCATCCTAAAAATCAGGCCATTCTACAAGGTACACTAGCAAAGGGGTATCCGACTGTGCTCGTCTCTCTCTCCTTTTCCCCATTCTCTTATCTCTCTCTTCTTATACTCCTCTATTCAAGCATTTTCCCTCCTCCTGCCCCCTCAGTGTAAAAAAACAACTTTTTTTTAATACTCTGGGACAATGTCTACGGACAATGCAACCAACATTTCAGTGTATGAAAATCACATACAGTACAGTATACAGTAGCATACGTGAAAGCCGACTGGCCTATCACACTCCCATACCCCAAATGCTTCATATGGAGTATGGTACTATTCGGATGCTAACCCGAAGCATCTAGCCTTCAACCTCGGATAGACAAACTGACAATAAAATCAGGTAATTTATTGTAAAATGGGTTGTATAAATGAGTCTGCATGGTATTTTTTTTTAGTTCAGTCCATATTTTCTAAAAGTGACTTGCAGTTCAATTAACAATGGAGTCAAAGTCTACAAATAGTGTATCTCAGATAAATGGTTATTAGAAATAATTATGTAGCTTACAGGCCAATTAAACAAATACAGTACATTTCTTTCAGCACTGTATTTATGAAATACTGTACAAAACATAACTATGAAATAATTTTGAATGAGGGCTAAAACACTTCATTTTAGAATTACCATACTATTTCATATTTACACAATACAAACTTAAACTTAATGATGCATAATATTGCAATCACTTCATTTCATACATTCTTAAAACAAACTAATGAAGTTGAATGGCTGACAACTGAAAAATACACTAAACTACTTTGCTCACATAAATGTACAGTAATTAAAATTAATCATTATTTGTACTTACATATAATCCATACAGTTATAACAATTATAACCAGGAAGTAATGGACCTCATTTAGTATTAAAGCTAAAACTATCATGCCAAAAAACCATCCATTCGTTTTTCTGTAAACAATATTATTTCGGTCATTACAGCAAATTGGACAATCCTTTTATCACATTCCTCAATAAAAGTACAATATTTCTATGCAGGCAATAAGCCAAATACCAAAACATCACTGATTATATAAAAATACTGCTATTACAACGCAAACATCTTCAAAGTCTACAGTAAACAAATTTAACTAGCTTATCTTTAGGGTGGAAAGCAAAAGCTCATTTTCTAAATCATGCATTTGTGTATCATCCACATTTACATGCAGTTCATAGAGTGTACATTATCACACACAGTTTTAATAAATGTAGGTGCAAAATGGCAGTGATTTTTATGGCTGTATCACTCGTCAAGAGAGCCTAGATACCTCGTCCATATTAAGCAAAATCTTCCTTAGTAACTTGCAATCCTATCCTGGCAGCAGTCTCTTAGTACTCACTAATTTGTACTAAAAACATGCTCCTTAAGCTTGCCTGCCTTTCTGCCTCCAACCATGCTATGGGCAATCTTGGCATAAATCTCTTATCTGCCACATTTTCAACATATTCTAAATTAATAAAATACTGCACATTTAAATTCACCAAGTGTTTTATTTACTATACTTTTATATCCCCTACGTTCTTGCTATTCAATCACTCTGATTACTGCACTGTACAGTATTACAATAATACACATTAATTATCAACTAATTACCCCATTTCAAACATTTGCAGTCAAGGGATTTTTGTTTTTATACATTCACACAAAACATTCTCACTTTTCCCAAGGGTCCAGAGCCAACAGCAATTATTATTTTTCACATACTTTTACTATACTTGCTCTTCTTCCAGTTTCACTTCATCAATGCCATCTTTGATAATTAACAATGTAAAGAGTAACCGAAAGTCTTCACATCTTCCAAATCTAACGCTTATGCTAGAAGTGCCAAACCTATTCATAAATGAGAATCTTATTACAGTACAGCATTTATATATCTCCACTTTGAACATTTTCTGCCTGCACAGTTTAGAAGAATTTAACAATTTCTACAGACCTACTTTCCTGATTAAACAATCAGAAATGGTTCATCTGTATATGCTACTGTACATTAAAAAACAAAAAGCACATGAACACTATTACCAGACTAATTAAAAAATTTCCTAATGCATACAATGTGAGAATTTTACATTTATGAAACAAAAATCATTTCACTAATACTAACAATGTAGTGTTTTACTAGTCATTACCACTTGATCAATAGAAAGCATATGCAGCACACTTAAAGGTAATATTTTTTTGTAGATAAATACAAGAAGTTGTTGACATGCAACTTGCATCATTGCATCACTTGTCAAATAAAATTGGTACAGAATTCTGGACAGTAAACCATTACATCAAATGGTGTATCACAAATGGTACGGAATGATCGAATGATTTGAGCACTGAGTAGCCATTCCAGTATATTGAACGAGTCTTTTCATCCCCATACCTAAAGCTGTAATTAGGGGCATATTCAGGATTCTTCTAGAAAGTCCAGAGATTTTGAAAATTAATTAAATTATGAACTACTGTAACTACCTAGCATTTGCTGTACTTATTATCCAACAGGTCTTCTGATGTTACAGTACTTAAATTATATAGCAGTTATCAAGAGGAGACTAACAAAAAAAAAATTTCCAATGTCATTATTTTGTGGAAATGAGGATTTCACTAGGGAGGATGTGACTAATAGAACACTTTGTATTGTAAGTGCTGTTAGGCGACTCAAAGATGAATGCGCTGCAAGTCTCCATGGAAGAATTGATCCTTCAAACCATCTCTGGGTCACCTTTTCTTATTTCACTAATTACAGAATGTTTTAATTTTGATACACAGCAAGGAAACAACTGTCCACAATGATGTACAGTACAATGATTAAACAAAGAAAACATGAACACAGACCAGGAACTATGCTCACGAATGCAAGCACAAATTTTTGCTACAAAAACAATTACAGTAGAGAACTGTACCCAAAAAAATTATCAGCAGTAATTTCTGTTTTTATTTTGTATTTGGAATATTTAAAAAATCTAAACTAAACACATGTATTCCAGCATCCGATATTAATTTGTTGAACTTGATATAAGTCTAATCACTCATTTATGTATTCTATATTTTGTTCATCTTATATTCCATATACACAACAATTGAGATTTATCAACAAGTTAAAAAATTATTTACGTGTTCGATACAATAAATAAGTATAAAAGTGTGCACAAGATAAATATTGAATCTCAGTAATATAACATCCCAGTGGGCACGATATCCATAAGTAACATTGAATTAACGTTACTCTTGGGTACTGTGCCCACTGTAACACAATTATTGCTCTTTACTGCCCATTACACCACTTCTAAATCTTGAATTGCTAGCTTTAGGATCAGCATGACTAATTTATGAATTTAACAAATTGAAGAAGCAGTGTTTTGGGCTCAGATTATTTACTCAAACTCAGCACATACATTTAACATCTTTATCTCAGTGCAGCTTTTGATACAAATACAATTGTGACTAATTTTGGTTACACCAAGTGGCTCATACATTAGTTTATGAGTAATTAACTAGTTAAATATATATCTTATGCCATTATACAATACAGTATAAAGTTTTTGTGATGTGTGGTGGTGCTGGGCCTTTATGATGCTACAGTACTTAGTGTTTTAAGATACAGTATGATGAATGGTTGGCTATTAGCCCTTAATACATTTAACCATCTCTTCTGTTACTACTCTGCTACATTCTCTAGACTCGACTCGCACCACCCCATCAAAATGAGAAATATGGTAATGATGATACAGTGGCACCTCGATTAACGAGTTTAATTCGTTCCGGCACCGAACTCGTCGTGTGGAAAACACGTCTTTTGAAACAACAACAAAACTGTTGTCGGAGGTGTCCAAGAACCAGCAGGAATGCTCATTAATTGAGGAAAGGCTCATCAGTCGAGACATATTTTCTGCGAGTGGCTTGCTCGTTACTCAAAATGCTCGTAACTGGAGCCGCTCGTCACTCAAGGTTCCACTGTAATTATAACTATAAATCACAGGAATAACCCAAAATGATATATAGTGAACCATACTGATTTCCTTAAAGGCGATCTCTGTATCTAGTTACATTTATGAGGAGCAGTATTTTTACTAATTCATAACTTTACTTAGTGTGATAAAAATATGTAAAACAGACCACTAGATGTAATGCTTTAGTCATTCCAAAATGAATGATAAGGAACAAAATTCCAGTAATGCCAAATGAATACTCCATATAACATTATATAGTTGTGACAAGAATCAGGTACACTCACATATGAGATTACATACCCTGTATTACATATCAAATAATCAATTGAAAAGAAACCACAGAAAACAGATGAGAATAGGTTAGTTAAAGGCTCACATAATATAATTATAATTGTATATATAATTATATATATATATATACTATCACCCAATTTGTTAATTTATAAAAATAACACAGTAAATCATGTTACAATTTCAAGAAAATAAGAATATCTTGTCAGGGAATTACTATGGAAGCACTCTCAAGATTTATTCCTGTATCTAATGTAGTGGAGATATATTCATATACAGTACCTTTATAAAGTTGTAATGCCTCAAACTAGGTCCTACAACTACAAATGATTCTTCTACTCTTGCAACCCAACAGTCCTTACAGCCACCACTAATCTTTCTAATTCTGCCACAAACTAGTCTTGCCAACCACATTCAATCCTCCCACTTCTACCACAAACCAAGAGTCACGTCCACACCTTATCTCCTTGTTTCCTATAAATTTGGGTTATCTTATTATGACAAAGTCTTCCTTTTCATTCTATAATGGTTTATTTACATTATAATCCACTACAGGTGCCTTATTGTTTAGAAATTTCAAGAGTCAATTTATGACAATCTAATCAGAAAATAGAGGTCTCCCTATTTCAAACACTGCCTCTAATTTTCGAAATTGAGCAAATGCATAACTTAACTTAGTAACTGAAGCAGATACACAAATGATGTAAGTTAATTAATGGGTATTTAAGGACCCAATATAATTCTCCCAAATTTCAACAATACCTATCAAGATTACACAGCTTTATAAAAAAGGAACTACCGGTATTTATATGTGCCTATATTACAATGTATCAAACATTCACTATCTTCACGGCACGAATATACACACTATGATATCTTTTATTGATTTTTCATAAAACCTCAATGAATAAAGTTATCTGGGAAAACTGTAACTGCCTTCTGAGACAGGGTATCATTTCTAAATCAAAGAAGATACTGTGTTACAACATTTTCATATCTGAAAACTTAAGCCATTCAACATAAACATTTGTATCAGCCGTACTATGACCACCCAAGTTTTATGCTAGTGCAGTACTGGATGACAGTCAAGCAAATCAACCTTCTATGATGATACGTTTCAGTAAATTCTTAACATGCTTATTGTTTTTTATTTTCAAAGCAATAGTGATATGGTGAATAGCCATTTTCATATAAAAAGCAGCCCAAGTTTCAAAATAAGTGCTTCATACTGCTCTATTATGACAATTAGACTGCTCAAACAAAGCATTTCTTCCATAAATATGAAAAACACTCAAATATCTCAACTATATTTATCTACAAGTAATTTATATTTTTATGATAGAATACATAGTCAATGCCACATATCATACATAAACTCGCAATGTCTCCATGATGGGTCTACGACAAACTGGACAAGTGTTGTCTCTGGTGATGATAGCTGAGCGGCAGGCATCACACAGACACAGGTGACGACACGGCAACAGTATGACACATTTAACTTGGTCTTGGCACACAATACATAAACGACCTTCACGTTCCTGTTCTAGTTCTCTATATAGCTGATAGGCTTGTCCATCTGCCCTGTTAGTGGATTCGCGTCCATTCTTAATTTCTGAAATGCTACTTTCTGGTGAAAGTGCAATGTTTTCACGTGGCTGTTCATGCATGCGTTGGCGAGCAATTGGCCGTCTTGTGAGGCCTACTGCCAAGAGTGGTGCCGGTGCAGGGTTTCGTGGAACCTCACCACCGTTCATTAATGGAAAGATATTAGGCTCATGTGCTTGATTGGGAGCTGGATTAGCCATATTCATTTGGTGAGCAAAAAACTGGTTCTGAGGTAAGTTGAGGTCAGGTACATTATCATTGTTGTCATTACCATTCTCATCATTTGCATCATCCAATTCTTCCTCTTCTGTGTCAATATCTACTGGAGGCCTCTCATGTGCTCGTCGCACCACTGCCATGTACCAGCGAATGAGTCTCTGTCTCGTCACAATAAACATTGTAGGTACTTGCATGTCCGGAACTAAAATCATATTGTCCATCATGTAAAAGAGAGCATATTTCAAGCCAATAATTAGAGCCAACCCCATGACTACACCTACAACTGCTTCAAGTGGTATATCATGAACAAAAGTGATAATGCCAGACACACACATATTTACAGCATACTGTAATGACAGCCATGAGCTGTTCACTGCCTGACTGCAATTAAGATAAGCATATGAACACAGGTGAACCAAGCCAGTAAATACAAGACATAACACATTGGGAACAAGGCCTATGATGAACACTATTGATGAGCCAAACAATACGAGTGCATGTTTCAGCACTCTAAGGATGTTCCCCACCTGTGCCACTGCAGTCATCACACCAGAAATAATGGCACAGTATGAGGCCTGGACAAGCTGACATGAGAACATAGCTGCAGCTATTATACCCAGGAGAATGCCACTCACAAAATTGAACAAAGTTGTCACAACAGCATGTACACCCATTCCCAGAGCAAATACCGCATTTCCTATATCTCCTAGGAAGAGCAGAAGGTCAGTTGTTAGCACAGAAAACAAATCGGCAGCCTGGAAAAGGAAAAAAAAAAAATTCACAATCGTAGCTGTTACATGACTATCTGCAGCTCATTCCTTTCTCACCCATTCAATTTTTTTTTTTTTTTTTTTTTTTTGAGATATATACAAGAGTTGTTACATTCTTGTACAGCCACTAGTACGCGTAGCGTTTCGGGCAGGTCCCTGGAATACGATCCCCTGCCGCGAAGAATCGTTTTTTCATCCAAGAACACATTTTACTGTTGCGTTGAACAGAGGCTACAGTTAAGGAATTGCGCCCACTAAATCCTCCCCGGCCAGGATACGAACCCATGACATAGCGCTCGCGGAACGCCAGGCGAGTGTCTTACCACTACACCACGGAGACTGTATTGGTAAGGAACTTCATATTTCATAAAACTAGTTTAAGATTCTATTGACTTCATCTGTTAAACAATATTTAAGAGTATCCTTGAGGCATAAATTGATACAGTACAGTACAAGGCAAATAAACAAAACATTGTACAGTAATTAAATTTTTCATTCATTTCACTGGTGCAGGTGCTACATTTTTTTCAGTGCATATTACAGGTTTCTTGGAATTACAAGGTTGTGTACATAGGCCTATTCATATTTTACAATTTTATGCTACATACTTATGTAGGACTAAAACTAAATAAAGGTTTTTTGTTTGTATTCTCACCTAAAATATGGTCAAATATTCATCAGAGCATATGGACAATTTTCTACATTTATGATACTTTAGGCTTTGGGAACACTTTCTTCTGGTGCAATAATATTTTTTACTTTCAAAATCTATTTTAATGGTAAATATGAAAGAGCATTTCTTTATCTTATTAGAAATGCAATTAAATAAAAATGTATGAAAAACGTCGTTTTACTTGTGCAGACGATGTCACAACAACCATAGCTGAAGTGTTGATTCAAAACCTACACATCTGAAAATGAAGAAACTACAATGTTTCAGTCCACCCTAGACCATCATCGTTATGTAACTGGACTTGATAATGGTTCAGGATGGACCAAAACGTTGTCGTTTCTTCATTGTTAGATGTGTGGGTTTTGAATCAGGCACTTTACTTTTCTTTTTTTCCATCTAATACTTATAATACACAAATTTTAATAGTGAATATTTTTTTTATATATCATGACATTCAGGTTCATTCTCGACTCATAATTGGTAATTCCAGGTTCAAATCCCAGATGGGACAGAAATGGCTGGGTGCATTTCCTATCACCTAATACCTCTGTACATCTAGCAGTAAATAGGTAGCCAGGAGTTAATCAGCTTGTTGTGGAGCTGCATCCTGAGAGGCTCAGACGTTACCTCAGGGTCGAGGTAACTTCGTCTGCTTGCTGGTGTGTGGCAACATGTTATTGTCTGGAATCATCATACCAGCTTAGTGGTTTGCTATGGTGAACACAAATGTAGATACTTATATATAATGTGTGCATAGAGTGTAATAACAGCAAAAGAAGTTTGTTGGGAGGAGCCATTTTGGTGAGGGAGTGAGTGAGGCTGCTGTCTGCTGGCTACTGTGTGACTTGTCATGCAGTGGCCACTATGCTGTTTGGACACCATACCAGCTTAGCTGTAGTTATGGTGAATAAAATATGTAGAACCTTATATATAGTGCAATAATACCACAAAGAGTATGGTTGGGGGGAAGAATGTTAGTGCGTCTGGCCTTGAACCAGTGAGGGAGGCAGCCGTCAGCCGTGTGTGGGGCGACCTTCCTTTATTGCCTAAACTCGCCATATCAGTTTAGTTGTACAGTTATGGTGAACAAAACATGTACTTATATATAAAGTGTATAAATAGTGTACTAAAAACAATAACAGTATGGTGGGAGGGGAATTTTGGTGAGTGCGTGAAGGAGGGAGGGAGTCAGCCAGCAGCCTGCTGGCTGCTGTGTAGCGGCCACTCTTGTTGTTTTGGGCTCACCAAACCAACTTAGTGGTTCGTTATGGTGAACTCACATGTAGATAGGTATATACAATGCGTGTATATAGTGTAATAACAGCAAAAACACTGTTTGATTGATCATAGAATTCAATATACATGTCACATATATGAGCCCCATAATTTTGAACAGTGATGTTCCACACGTTCCACACATTGAACTATATAAATTCCACAAATTACACATTTTTAAATAATATAACAGCAAAAAAAAAAAGAGAAGAAATGAATGAGAAATATCAGAATAATTGTGAAACATTATATTCGCGGCAACTGCTGCCCCATGGGGTGGCGGGGCCGAGTTACCCCAAATGCTTCATCGCTCAACGCCATAAATTGCTCAACCTCACAGATCCATCACTGCTAAAGTATATCACATACAATATTTTTGTTTAGTTTCCCCGTGATCAGAGAGTGCATTTTAACAATATAAGAAGAGAAAATAATTTTTTGGAAAGAATTTATTTTCGGCGCACCACGGGTTTGTCATATTTTAATGCAGAGTAGTGCAGTGGTTAAAGGGGACCTCGATATAACGCTAACATGTATGAATACACTGGCTGCCTGTACCCAAACACATTGAATTATTTATGCTTTAGGATCATACCTGGTACAGTGTCAATTTATCTAGCCAAGTTTTTATACTTTAACAAAAATATATAATCACATTGAAATAGGATACTGTAATATTTTTCATAAGATATGATATTAAAAAAATACCATTTTATGTAAACATGTGCAGTATTCATAGGACTACGACCAACTTAACTGTGGAAACCTTTATACTTTTATCATGCTATATTCTCCATTCTTATACAAACCAATTTAAAATCAAAACCCAAATTGTTTCACAATTACACATCCCTCTTAAAAAAAGTGCTTTGCTTATATACAGTACTTAGCAGTAAGCTGGAAACTTGAGAAAATAATTGTCTATAAAATGAGTTTGACTTGTTTTGGTAAGAATTGCAGTAAGAATTATTGTAAGAGGAAATATTTTCTCACTTTTTGAAGCCAAGTCTATTACCTGATGGTGGAATAATGTTTTCTTTCTTAATACAGTACTGTACTAGCATTAATTTATATTTCATAATTGTTTTTATCAAGACTTTTTTCCCATTTATCTAGTAATCTTTAAATAATAATAATAATAATAATAATAATAATAATAATAATAATAATAATAATAATAATATTCTTTGTGGTTAAAAAAATTCCTCAGCAGCCCAACAAAATTCTATAGCACCAAATATTACAATTCCCTCTCACCACCAGCAAATTATATACAGTATACCAACATGGGCAATATAGCATCTAGGTGTGTAACTATAAGCTTGTATGTTCAATCTTGCAGGGTACCTTGTGTGTGAGGAGCAAGAGGACCTGCACGATGCGAGTGGATGCCTTGAGAACTGTCGTCATGACCTGGTTGTTTAAACGAATCGCAACTCCAACTCCACTCCACACCATGCCAAACACTCTACCCATTTCCTCAGCCACTATAGTTAGTACTTCAGCCATCCTGAAATAGTGAATAACAACACTAATAATAGTAATACGAGCTGGTGCAATTAAAGTTAACACCTGAATGTCAGGAATGTAATGAGCACAGTGTACAAACATGTAAGAACTCTTGTATATATATATATATATATATATACAGTACAGTATAAAAAAAATCCTTTAAGGTTGGAGATGAACTAATGGAGGAGATATTCACAGCAACATCCAGTCTTCAGCATTGCTTCCTACACTTAACAGCATCTAAGGTAACTATGTTTTGATCACATGGGGGCATTTGATAAAGGTATTCCCAGGAAAACATAACTGAATACAAACAGCATAGGGTAATGAGCAGAGGGGGGCATACAATGTTTACACGATGCCATACTAATAATGACTAGTTAAGACAGTATACAAAGATTAGGCTGGTGTAATGAGCACAGGTTGGTGTAATCTAATAAGTAGAACAAGTGCAGCGAGCATGGGGTAGTGGAGGTTATTTGTAGTAATTACCTAAGTAATTACCTAAGTGTAGTTAGAGGATGAGAGCTACGCTCGTGGTGTCCCATCTCCCCAGCACTCTTTGCCATATAAATATATTTTTGTCATATAAATATATTGTCATTATATACATTTTGTCATAGTGTTGCTGGTTGTGTGTTGTGGTTTTCTGTAGTCTATTAAACCAGAGGAGCACTTTGTCTACATTTTCCTTAATACAGAAACACCTTTATGTAGGGTAGTCCATAACATGTAATAGTTAATCACGCTGCCATTGATGAAATCATAGACTTGTAGTTGAGTAGCAAGATAATTACCAGTGTAACTACCATGTCTTGGTGATGGTACCTTTCCTCACCTGCAGCTCTCCACTTTCCTGTTACCTGGTTGATACCTGGTTGATGGGGTTCTGGGAGTTCTTCTACTCCCCAAGCCCGGCCCGAGGCCAGGCTCGACTTGTGAGAGTTTGGTCCACCAGGCTGTTGCTTGGAGCGGCCCGCAGGGCCACGTACCCACCACAGCCCGGCTGATCCGGAACTTCTCTTAGAAAACCGTCCAGTTTTCTCTTGAAGATGTCCACGGTTGTTCCACGGTTGTTCCTGTGACCAGTCAAGTTGCCTGGGAGTCTGACAGTGCAGCAAACACCTGTGGTTACCTGGGAGTCTGACAATGCAGCAAACACCTGTGGTTACCTGGGAGTCTGACAGTGCAGCAAACACCTGTGGTTACCTGGGAGTCTGACAGTGCAGCAAACACCTGTGGTTACCTGGGAGTCTGACAATGCAGCAAACACCTGTGGTTATCAGGGAGTCTGACAGTGCAGCAAACACCTGTAGTTACCTGGGAGTCTGACAATGCAGCAAACACCTGTGGTTACCTGGGAGTCTGACAATGCAGCAAACACCTGTGGTTACCTGGGAGTCTGACAATGCAGCAAACACCTGTGGTTATCAGGGAGTCTGACAGTGCAGCAAACACCTGTGGTTACCTGGGAGTCTGACAGTGCAGCAAACACCTGTGGTTACCTGGGAGTCTGACAGTGCAGCAAACACCTGTGGTTACCTGGGAGTCTGACAGTGCAGCAAACACCTGTGGTTACCTGGGAGTCTGACAGTGCAGCAAACACCTGTGGTTACCTGGGAGTCTGACAGTGCAGCAAACACCTGTGGTTACCTGGGAGTCTGACAGTGCAGCAAACACCTGTGGTTACCTGGGAGTCTGACAGTGCAGCAAACACCTGTGGTTACCTGGAAGCGTGGAAGGTGAAGTCCTAACATGCACTCGCCGCCTCACACGTGACTTTCTTTATCAGTGGCGGTATTACACGATGTACAGGTGTTGAGGCTGAGGAGACGCAGGTGTTGAGGCTGAGGAGAGACAGGTGTTGAGGCCTAGAAGTGCCAGTGGGAGCGCGAGCATCCACACCAACCTGGCTTCACCAGATGCTACTGCTAGTTCCTGGCCCGGCTAGGTACGCTGCTCTCCTTTACTAAGTAACACGTAGCACCTGCCAGGCCTGTTAACCTCATCTTTTATTTATTCATTTATTTTATTTATATATATATACAAAAAGGTACATTGGGTTGATGAGAGTACATAACATTGATGTTTTTACATTCTTGCAAAGCCACTAACACGCATAACGTTTCGGGCAGGTCCTTAATCTAACAGATAATTTTAAGTAGGTAATTTGTAACAAAATTTGAATAATAATAATAACCTCGTGTGATATATGACACAGTATAACTCCACATGATGTGACTGCTAAAACTAGTCTAAATATGGACAATATAATAGTGGTGTACCTTGCCGTAGGAGGAACTTGTGCCCACAACATTCAAAACAATTTTTTTGTGTTTTTTAAATCTCCCTCCAGCTGGTGTTGTGGCCATGACTTTAAACTGAGAAAATCTTTCTAATGTCTTAGTGGCTCATAATATTAATTTTACTAAAGTAATTATCTGAATCCAAATTGTCATATACCTGTCACTATATTCATTACTTTTTTCAAGACTGATCGTTTAAACAACATTCCCGCACAAATTATTGATGACCACATGGGGGATGAGTATGAATCACTGGGAGTAACCCTTTACTTAAACAATAATGCCCTACATATAATCAACCTATATGTCCCACAGAGTAAACTTGACCTTGACACACTACCTGAATTTGTTAATGAAGAACCTACCCTGCTGGTGGGTGATCTTAATGCCAGACACCCACACTTTGGTGCCAACTGTCATCAGCCCAATGTCAATGGACGGAAACTGTCACTCTTTGTTAGGGGAAGTGTAAACCTTAGAGTCCTGGGTGATGAACAGCCAACTCACCTCAGAGGAGGAAGATTAGACTATGCTCTCCTGCTGAATGGACAGGACACGGATGCCAGTACACACATTGTGCACAGTTTATGTAGTGACCATTGGGCACTGATTACCACCGTCGACATGAGCAAGAGAAAGAAAGAGACAAATACAAGAAAAATGTTATCACTCGGACCAGATATGAGGCCGCTCTTCATAAACAGGATGAGTGACTGGTTCACTGAATACCAAATCCCAGAAGACATTGATAAGTTTGTTGATGTTCTTAATAACCAAATTGAGAGCTGTATTAGAGCTCCGCGCCGTGCGACAGGCGAAGTAACCCTCAGAGGAAGAAAATAAAATGGTATGAGAACGATTACATAAAGATGCTAAATGCAAATGTAAGGGACATGACTCGCCCTGCCCTGGTGACGTTCTATTACTCCCTCATCTATCCATATCTCAACTATGACAGAGGCAGGAGTGAGGATGTTGTAAGGACCCGCAAGATAGCGAAGACAGAGCGATCACGGCGGTCCTGGAGAGAGAGGAAGCCAGTGTCAGTGTACAAGCTGAGGATAGGAGTTGAACGAAAGGCACCAGAGCTGAGGCGCAACCCAGTATGGTGCAAAGGATCAAGACAGCGAAGAGTAGAAGGAGAAGCAGAAGAGTATGCAGGGCAACCATAATCGAGGTTAGACAGGACGAGAGAGGAGTACTTATAGAGGAGCGTGCGCCTATCTGCACCCCAAGAAGTATGGGACAAAACCTTAAGGAGGTTAAGGGCCTTAGAGCATTCGACTCGGAGGTAAGAGATATGGGGCAACCAAGACAAATGAGTGTCAAAGAATAACCACAAAAGCTTCGCGGAATCTTTGTACACAAGGGGATGACCATAAAGCGACAAAGAGGGACGAAGAACGACCCGCTTCCGAGTAAAAGTCATAGCACAAGTCTTGGTTGTAGAGAACTTGAAGCCATGATTAGTGGCCCAAGATGACGCGGCATCAATCGCAAGTTGAAGCCGCTGTTGAGGGAGAGGCGAATCATCACCTCGACAGCAAAGAGTAAGATCGTCAACATAAAGAGCGAAGATGCCTGAAGGGAGGGAGGAAAGAAGACCATTGAGGGCAACCAGAAAAAGAGTAGTGCTCAGAACCTTGGAACACCTTTGTGTACCCCTGCCCTTGGCGCAGAGAGATTGGCACCAAGCCTGACTCTAAAGGAAAGACGAGAGAGGAAGCTTTGGAGGAAGAGCGGGAGATTACCACGAAGGCTAAAAGAACGAAGTTCGGACAGAATATGATATCTCCAAGTCGTATCATAAGCCTTTTCCAGGTAAAAAAGGACAGCAACAACGGAGGTCTCTGCAGCAAAAACAGTACGAATATAGACCTCCAAGTTCATCAGGACATCAGTCGTGCTGCGACACTTGCGAAAAAAAATTGAGGAGGAGAGTGGTGGTGATGGTGTTCCAAGAACAACATCAGACGAACATTTACTATACGCTCAAAGAGTTTGCAGACACAACTCGTGAGGGCAATAGGGCAGAAGTCCGTAGGGAAAGTACCGAGACCCTGGTTTCCGAATAGGGAGTACAACGGCATCGAGCCAGCCCTCAGGGACTGACAACGACTCCCAGACCTGGTTATACAGACTCGGTAAAGACTGAGACGTGTACGGAGGGAGATGACGAAACATCTCATAATGAATGTCATCCGAGCCCACAGCCGTAGATCCGCAGAGGGTTAGGGCAAACTGAAGCTCAAAAAGAGAGAAAGGATCGTTATAGGGAAGGCGGAGATGAGTGTGGAAATCTAAGGGATGAGATTCAAGAACAGGCTTACGAAGAAGGAAGGATTGAGGAAGATGAGAACCAGAGGTAACAGTAGAAAAGTGGGAACCCAGTTCGGTCTTGACCTGCACTGGGTCCACCACAAGATTACCACGGAGGTGGAGAACCGGCGAGACATTGGGAACGAACTTACCCGCAGTCTTGCGAATCTTCTTCCAGATCTGCGGCAGAGGAGTATCGGAGGTAATAGGGAAACATAAGATTTCCAACCCTCACGTTTAGCGCGGATGGTCCTACGGGCTACTGCACTAACCTTCCAAAACAAAACAAAAGATTCAGCTGTTTGCCGGCGTCTGTGTTTCTTCCAGGTGGCACGCTTACAGCGGACAGCCCGAGCACAGTCCGCATTCCACCAGGAAACGCACTTCCGCGTGTCCCGGGAGGTAGAGCGGAGGGCAGCGTCGAAGACAGTGTCATGAAAAAGGAAGAGGGCGCAAGGAAGAGGCAGAGAGGAGAGGTCAAAGAGGGTAGCATGGAGGGTGAATAGGTTCCAGTCAGCCTTGGCAAATTGCCACCTAGGATAGTTGAGGGGCAGGTGGAAAGAGAAAAAGGAAACGAGGATGGGGAAATGATCACTGTTATGGAGGTCATCAAGAACCACCCCGTGAAATGTAAGTAAAGGGACGACGAGCAGAGTGAAAGATCAAGACAGGAAAGGGTGCGAGTCCGGGAGTCCACATGAGTGGGCTCACCAGAATTCATAAGAGATAGAGAAGAGGCAAGGACGAACGGTTCGAGAAGGCGGCCTTGGGTGTTTGTCAGAACATCACCCCAGAGGGTATGTCGACAGTTGAAATCACCCAAAAGGAGCACCAGCTCTGGCAAGGATTCCAAGAGGTGCTTAAGATTAGGAAGGGAAAGCGGGACATTTGGGGGGAGATAAATGGAACAGACTCTATACCATTTACTCACAAACACACGGGCAGCAGAACAATGGATACGTGACAGAATAAGGAGGGGGACGAAGATAATATCAGAGCGAATCAAGAGAGCAGTACAGTTATGAGCCCCAGCAAGAGCTGGGGGGGAGAGAGAAAGAAAGGAATAACCACATAAGCGACCAGGACGAGCACCAGGCATGGGTTCCTGGAAACAAACACAAAATGGTGAAAACTGTATAATCAGAAGTTGGAGTTCATAGAAGTTGACATAAAATCCACGAATATTCTACAACAGGCAAAAGGTCGACAGGAAATGACAATTAGAAAGGAAAAGGGGGGGGGGGGAGAAAAATGAAACACAAGGAAAAGGAAAAAAAAAAAAAATAGTTCTGGCCAAAATTGGTAAAGACAGCAGCCGGAGCATAAGGCCTCAAAAGGACAGAGGACTGACCCAAGGAGCATCACACTCCGGCAGCCACCCACCAAGCCCCCTCACGGCGACGAGCCAGAAAGGGAGGGGGGTGGATAAAACAAGTGCAAGAGATGAAGAAAAAATTAATGGGCATCCAGATAGTACTATCAGCTTGATTGTAGTACAGTATTCCCTCTTGTGAACCCACAGGATTAAAATTGAAAGAATGTATCATTCCAGAACTTTAATCAAATCTCCCTTATATATACTGCAGAACTCTCCAACAGATATGTGACAAGTAGCTCACAAATGTTCATATGGCAAACTGTTAACTAGGCGTAATTCATGACAATTTTTAAAATTAACATTTTATCAGTAAGGTCCTATACAGTACTTTCACAAGTGTAAAACTAATAAATCATTTCCTTAAGGATTGGTATAATGTTCTTCATTTTGTGGTACAATGTTACATCCTCTGAGCAGGAAGTTTCATCAAAGCTTTGACCTAACAAGACTTTCTCAGTATATACTATAGACAGTAAAGCAACAACGGACTAACCCTCTCTGATTGCTAGAAGAATCTTGTGCATGTCTTGGGCTCAATGTTCCCAGCATGACTGCAATGCCGGCTTATGATACAAGATAAAACCTTCTGGCTTAAATCACACAATATTCTTACCCAACTTCAGTTATTTAAAATGTTCTGTGGTTTACTTTTAAGCTATAAAATATTAATACATTACTGTATGTTTCTACATTCTAAAAGGTCATGATTTACATTCAAACACAGCCATGAGTACTCCATGACAATTCATACAGAAACTTTTTTTTATATAAAATACAGTAATTATAACTATAAATTTTTACTAGCAAAAGCAATTAATAAAGTAAAAATCAGTGTAAATAAACAGGTGGCATATACTGTATACTGATCAAATAATATCCATGTTATCAAAGTACAATATTCCTAGTCAGTGACAAGTCTAAATATAGCCTGCATTAATAAAGAAAAACATATAGTATGAATAATGTATTTTGCATTCACCAAAACCTGGAAATTAACTAAAATTTTTTTTAACAAATTATGTACTGTTATTTCCAGCAAGTTTTATTATATAAATTCCCCAGCTGGATGAGAGTACTGCAGTGAAAGAAGGAAGTGTCATTCATAATATTTCATATTATATTTGATCATTTTAGGCTATCTTAGTCTGGTATTTTATGTTAATACATAATCTATTCAATCTGAAACAAAGAATTATGCTTTATCAAATACAATTTAAAATAATTGTTTAGAACAGGTAAACAATACAAATGGAGAGAAGTGAACAGTATTTGGATAATGACAAGCAAGTTTTTTTTTACATATTGAGGAGAAAATAGGTATCCTAATTATCTGAAGAGATGTCCATGACACCAATCTTGCTTTCATATTTTGAACATACTAAAAAAAAAAGTTTAATCACATGCACATACAAGTGGAATTGCCACAAGAAGTCCAGTCTTGTGACCAACAAACACAACTATAAATCCACTCGCCTCAATCTTGCGTATATTTTAATTCTTGGTAATATTTATAAAAAGAATAATGTAGTATATAAAGATAAGTTTTTCACTGGGGTTCATAGATACACAAACTACAACTAAAAACAATAAAATCTCTATTCTTGAGATGACTGACTGACAGATACCTAATAGTCTAGAAAGAATTTGAATATTATAATTTATCAGGTTCTTGCGATTTTCTGTACGTACGAGTGAATGCATACGTAGACACGAACACACACACTCCACACCTCATATTATGTTCATTATTCATGAAGATAAATAGCAGTGAACTGTATGAATGTGAATACAGTATGTGTGTGTGTGTGTGTGTGTGCACATGGGCTGATTGTGTGCACACATTAGTGGGAGTCATGTGGAGGTGGGTTGTGCTGGCAAGTCACTACTCGCTGTTCTTACAATATTTTATATCATACGTTATATTGATGATAATGTCAACGTTATGTAAAATTAGAGTATTTATTTTCTAAAAATATGATTGACATTAAATAAAGCATACTTTATCAATGATACCCAATTCATGTAGTACTGTACATAAAGTACCAGAACTATATATTTATACAGTAATACATTTATAAAGTACAGTACTGCATAAACTTACATAGTACTGTGTAAAGTATTATACAGTAAAACATTTATGAAATACAGTACTGTAAAAAGTAATATATTTTTACTAGTTGATAAGAGTAGTAAAAATGAATCTAGTATCATGAGTCGATTATATATATATATATATATATATATATATATATATATATATATATATATATATATATATATATATATATATAATCAACTCATGATACTATATTATATATATATATATATATATTATAATCAACTCATGATACTATATTATATATATATATATATATATATATATATATATATATAATCAACTCATGATACTATATTATATATATACTGTATAATATATATTCACAAGTACATACTTAAAAGCATATATAAATATACAAAAACAAAAAACATAAAAAATTAACATTATAGCTGCAGAAGAAGATAATGTTACTAGTACATCACAAATACGTCTTAAGACCCGGGCTCATAACTAAATTCCTACTCTTAAGGACACCGTGCTACCAAAATTGAGGTATCTACCTTAAGAAAACCTACTACAATAGCAACAGATTTTTTTTAAAACAAAATGAAAACTATATTTAACCCTACTAACATACAAACTGTTTTCAATGTAGGATATTTGCCAGCTCTTTTTAAGTTTTGTTGACTATGTTATATAAAAAAAGGTAAGCATGCATAAACTTGCATTAGTGGGGGGACCTAGCTAATCCACTCTAATGCTTTCTCCGAGGCTGTGGATCTCCTCCTCCCATGTGTTTATATATGCTGCCACCAGTAGCGTCTTTTTGAGGGAAAATTGAAATCTAGGAATTCTCCTCCTTTAAAATCAGCAAAATATTGCAAGATTTCATCCAGTTTCAATTACATACTTTTTATAGTGTACATTGTGAAATACCCCTACAGACTAAGAGCAAACTCTTATACGGTGTTCCTTTTTGTCACTATCCCAAATTTATTGGGAACAGTTAGGACAGTAAATCTATCTTTTTTTGTTTAGAAGGATAGCCATTTTTAAGTTTATAGATATACATCATGGATATCAAATTACAATTTTAAATAAATGTAAATAATATATCAAAATTACATGTACAAATGATAAAATTGAGTGTTTTGGAGTGAATTCGTAAAAAGAGCAAGAATAATTTAATATAGTGTAAAGTACTCTGAAGAGAATAGTGGCATGATGCCCTTAACATTGATAAGCCTTACACAAGCTTCACCTCTACTCCCATCTTCTCACACAATGGCACTAAAAATGATTTAAGATTCACATTTCAAGTAAGAGAGATGCACTTTCCAACTGTGCAATTACGGTACATTTTTTCAAATAAACAGCAACCTTTTGAATAAATTTTCAGATAATATGGGTCAAATGACTCGATACCAGGCCACAAGTCTTCCCAATTAATATCAAACCAGTAAATATACTTGGCAAGGAATTTGACCTAATTTAGTTGCATAATACAACAAAAATTCAGTTTGACCCTTTTTTACTTTTGCATTCTTTACATTCTTTCCTCTTAAATTTCAAGTAAGAAAAATAATACTCTTTATTTTATGTTTAGCATTAATAATTATGCATTCATAATGGTACAATCTTGAACAAGAGAACAATACTTACAAACAAACAATTAATTGCAATATTCTATTACGTTAAAACAAGCTGTAGAAGTAAGTATGAAATGTAAATGTGAGGGTTTCAAGAGGGCACTCTTGCTGGCTTCTGTGTTATTGCATTTGGGAAACACTTGATCCTGCTAGCAATGGATGGCAGCATTTGCTAGCTCCAGGCACCAGTTATGAACATTACAAGACCGGAAACTCTCTTTGTAGACACGTTGATAAAAGTTAATCTAGAATTAAAAGCTTTAATACACACACACTTAATTTTTTTTAACCAATGTTATCATTCCTTTTAAAAAAAGAGATCAAATGTATTTCTATACAGGTCTGTCATATACAAAACAGTAATACATTTTTATGTAAAATGAAACAAATACGTAAAATCCACAATATCTGGGCAAGCAGGCAGCCACACAGTCTAAACTTTAAGCAAATATCCCCTCACTCCATCAAGTCTCTTTTGGTATTGTAACTTTTAAAGTTATCATGAAGGTCAAATTTTATTTTAGAGAAATATCTTATTTCTCCATCACTTACAAAAGATGTCCAAACCACTCTGATACACTATCCATGAGAATGAGGTAAGTAATGTAAACCATAAAAATGGGAAAAATATATCAAACCCATAAATTGGGTTAATTTGGATAATTAATATCAAACCCTACTAAAATTGTTCATAAAACATGAGGGGGGGGATGGGGTGTCATAACTAACCTGACAAGGTCTAAAAAAAAAAAAAAAAAAAAAAAAAAAAAAAAAAAAAAAAAAAAAAAAAAAAAAAAAAAAAACTTGAAATTTATACATTGTTTAGGCAACAAAAAATATTGTACATCTGACCTCATATATACTCTAATCATCTAGATTTGTACGGCCGGTATTATTCTCACTTTCGTTACCCATAAAACGCCGATCTTGTAGGAAGACTGTCTGGCCCTTGCCGTCCACTATTTGATGTGAATCAGTTTGAAAAAGATCCGATACATATCGCGACTGGAAAGACGAAATACAAACCATTAGAATATTTAAAAATTTCATGTGCAAAATCAACACATATTGTTTAATCAACACATTTTACATAAATAACATATACTCAGAGAAAACTATAAAATCCTCCAAAATGTGTGTCTAAGATAAAAGGTGAATGATCAGTTAGCACTAGTGCTGTTGAGCTTTTATTTACTATTCTATACAGAACAAATAGAAAACTACTATGATGTGTATATAGCAGAAATGTCACACATGCTACATCCCATATTTTATCAACAGTATAAGCATTAGTTTCTAGCAGCACAAATTTACAGGGTTGGTTACTGTAAAATCTAAGCACCTGTATCTTGGCTTTAATGATGAATACTGTGATAAGCATAGTTAATAAGGCCCTTCCTCCTCTACTCTGGCATATTTATTCCTATAAACCAGCTGCAACATTTAAAATACAGCACACTATAACCTTGCATATCATGGTGGGTTTAGAACTTGAAGTGCCAGAAAGAACACCTTATGTCGAATGACAAACTTCTGGATTTCTGCAATATGATGGCACCTTGCTACACTTTCTTGGTGGACCAACACAACTTAGCAATGGCATACCCACATTATTTATTTAGCTATTCTCCACCCTTTAGTTCTAAATAATAGTAAAAGCATTTGGTTAAGTAATATTTTCCTTAAATATTCACCAACAAAATATAACGTTTTTGTTCTGGGAGTATCCCTACTGTAAGTGGGCATGTCTCAGCTATGTACTCCCCTAACTGTGCTAGCTAAGATTGAGCATTGGCTCCTTGGTCCTGCCTCTCACCCTTCAGTCTACTCATGCACAGGTTCCTAAGCCTTTTGAGATCTATCTAATCCACATCGTCGAGACGGTTCCAACATATTGCCCAGTTCTTTCATACGTATAACAACAACAGTTCCCGAGAACAATCCTGAGAGGTTGATAAAACTGCGACCAGTGATGGAGTATTTTACAAAGAAATTTGCAGAAGTATATGTTCCATAAAAAGAATTGAGTTTGGATGAAGGTACGATGCCATGGCATGGCCAACTCTCTTTCAAGGTGTACAATCCCAACAAACCAGACAAATATGGTATAAAGTTTTACATGTTGGCTGAATCAACATCTGGCTACAGATATGATTTTGACGTATATTGTGGCATTGGAAAAACTACAGTGGAAACTGTCATGGGGTTGATTCAGCCCCTAGTGAACAAGGGTTATCATCTGTACATGGATAACTACTACAACTCGGTTACCCTGACAGAGAAGTTACGAGAAGTTGGGGGTTTACATATGTGGCACACTTAGACTGCAACATGGCGCACCAAAGGAACTGCAACAGCAGACAAAGGGTAAAATTGCATTGGATACCACCCTGTACCAGCGCAAAGATAACACATTTGTTATACTATGGAAAGACAAGCGCGTTGTCTCACTCATCACCAACTTGCACAATGCAGACACTAATGAAGTGCAGCAAAGGAAACGCATTCAGAAACGTGATGGAACAACATATATGCATATGTCTGTGTAGGGAATTTTATTGCGATCACTGTCCTACAAATAAATACAGTGTACAACAAGTGTAAAATTGACAAACATGAAAATAGCAAAAACATTTCGTCGGTTTTTGCCGCGCACGCATATCGTTCAACATAATTTTCTATTTGGTGCCATTCTAACTTATGCTGTGTTGAACTTTTATACGTATGTTCTTCTAGAACATTCTATTGCGAACACATTGCTACAGAATTGAAATAGGTACATCGAAAATTAAAGTCAGGACAGTGAAAAGAGTATACACTTCCTAAGCGTGGTTTCCCAGATGTGTCATCAGGTGTGCGGTAAGGGGTAACACTTTGGCCACTTCCCACACTCTTGCAGGTGGGCAGAGACCATGATTCAACATATATATGCATATGTCCGCGTAGGGAATTTTATTGCTATCTCAGCGATACCAAAATTAACGCTGTAGGACAAGTGTGGAGTTGACAACCCTGAAGAGATTAGAAACATTTTGTTGCTGTTTTGTTGCTCTCGGCTAGTGATCTACGTAGTTCTTTATTTGGTGCTGGTCTAGCTTATGCTTTGGTGACATTTTATACATATGTTCTTATAGAAAATTCTATTGCGAACACATTGCTACAAAAATGAAAAATGTACACCAACAATTAGTGTCAGGACAGTGAAAAAGAGAATACACTTTTTGGTGTTGCCTCTTAAGTGCTCGAAATGCCGCGCACACAAGGGGAAAGTTTTTTTTTCGTTTGCCGGGAACGCGAAAGTGTTAATTTCTTTAGAATTTCCCTGTAACTCGTATATATTAATCTGGTGGCATATCTCATGAGGTAAGGACTTTACACTGGTGGCCATCATTCTAAAACTGATCCAACATACTTGATATATTGTACAAGATTCTCATGATTCCATGTTCAAATTGCTAAATTCAGATACAGTATATATTCACAAAAAAATTATTTATTATGCATTCTTCACTTTGACTACAAGAGGGAAGGTAGGATCCACCTCCATCCTCTCTCACTCTCTTGCACTCATGGCTCATACTCGTCTAGTTGTACTTGTGGGGGTTGAGCTTTGGCTCTTTTGTCCCGCCTCTCAACTGTCAATAAACTGGTGTATAAATTCCTGAGCACTATCAAATTTACATTTGGAACTGTGTATAGAGTCTGCCTCCACCACATCAACAGAGCGTTAGCTGCTTCATTAGGCTGGGAAGCAGCTAGTCAATACTGTCATTAATGACAAGGCACCTGGTTACCTGGTTGATACCTGATTGATGGGGTTCTGACTTGTGAGAGTTTGGTCCACTAGGCACATGCTTGTCATTAATTTTCATTCAAATGGAAATGTATTCAAAGTTTATATTGCAGTCTTTAGCATTATGATTGCTCCAGTAAGACATGTTTATAAAAAGGTAAATTACAGTCATAATAATATAATAATTAACAATATTATTATCTGACCATGCCACCCATCCAGCAATGGCGTTTGAACATATATTGACATGTGGCTTGGAAGCATTTGTATATACTGTATATATTTTTTAATGTTATGTATAGTTTTGAGTTATCATTGATTAACACTAATACTTGTATAATAGTTTATTGTATTTTATTATTTTTGCTAAAGTTTATATATATTCTATTAATATTTGAACTTGAACTAAAATTCATTTGGATAATGACAAGCATTATTAATTAATACATGGAAGCAAAATAATATTCACTTTTGGTTGTCTTATGTATGAAGGTATTTTTTCAATACAGTATTAGTAAAGGTATTTTATAATTTGCAAATTACACGTAAATATATATTTTTAAAATACAGTATTGTTATATTCAAGTTTGATTAAAAGTTTTAAGTATTGTACAATAATTTACACTTTGATTAGGTGGCTCATGAATGGCTGATAACACAACCCCCTCCAGAAACACTGTCTCGGCGATGGCTTGGATAAATAATCTTCACTTAAACATTAGTGCGTTTCACCAAATAAATTGGTTCAATTAAAATTTGTTCGGACCACCCAGGAGTAGCTAGAGCGAGAGTTGCTGGAGTGAGGACGCACTATATTTCAATGCAACACTATGTATATTAACTTCAACATAATGCAATATTACATCTTTAATTTGTTTCATCTGAGAATTCCATTCTCATATTCTCTCTTACGTCCCTCATTAAGCATTTCATTCTGATGTAAAAAAATGTTTGTTCATGACATATTTACATAAATAGAACGAAGCTTAATTCTTCAACCATATTAGTGCCTTACTATCCTACTAATGCAATCAGAAGAATCTGCACATGGTTCTTATATCAACATGCACAATGTAATACAGAGCACCATTTGGTTTCCAAACTTTAGTTATCCGAAACTTTCAGTTTCCCGATTGGGGTTGGGGAGTCACGCTACACAAACTAAGGTCGGGTATGAAGCGGTCCGCAAAGTCTTGCGCTGGCCAGGGTTGGGGTTACCCTACACGAACCAAGTTCGGGTAGGGAAGTGGTCCACCAAGCGTCATGCCGGCCCGGGGGGTGGGTGGGTGGGAGATGGTCTAGTTTGCCCAATGACCGTGTCGGGCACCACCACTCTAGTGCCTGCCACCCTGTGACGTCACAGATTCACGGCCTATTGTTCCCATTGTTTTGATTTGTCACAAGACTGGAGTGCTCATTCCATGAATTTGTTTTACATATCAGCACAATCAAGGAACATTCGTGCACCATGTCGGCTCCAAATGCACGCATTGTGTCACCGAAAGCATCAACAAGCAGGTTACGTAAAAGAAAGAGGTCAGTGATGACATTTGAGAAGAAAGTTGAAATAATTAAGAAGGGGAGAGCGGTGTCACAAGAAGTGTCGTGTGTGCTGAATATGGCATTAGTAAAAGTACTGTTTTGTATCTTTTTTCATATGGAATTCATGTGGAAAAGGCACCGCAAATGCAAGTGAATTTCACCAAGCAATGAAAATTACTCTGTATACAGAAATTATATAGAAAATTACTGCGATGAAATTATAGAATTAGTTGTGTAGCAAAAAAGCCAGAAGAGTGCAATAAAGAAGATGGAGAGGAAGATGATGAAGAAACGTTAAAGGAAAAATGTAATATTGAAAAAGTTCAGCAACATTTTGAAGACATTCTGGCATTTACGGACACGAGTTACAGCGAGTTTGAAACTAAGGACATGATGAGTCTGTACAATTTGTACATAAAGTTTTTAAAAACAAGATCAAAGGGAATGAAACAAATGTCAATTAAAGAGTCTTTTGCAATGGTTTCCAAGAAAGCTTGCATTGCCTCACCTGCACCTGACTCACCACATGATGACCCAGTCAACCCAACAACTGCCAGTCAACCCAGCACCATCAACATCCACCACCACCTCTCATGTAAATAACTATGCTTCATCAACTAAAACTGGGGGACACTAAAAGCCCCGAAATCATCTCAAGATAACCAAGATCAACATCGATCGTCAACATAAGCAGATCAGGACTTTTCTTATTGGTAAGTACAAACAAAATACTGTCGCATTCATGCTAAGATCCTGTCGATTTTTTCTCCTAGAGCTTTTCCGACATTTTTCGATAATTTTTTTTTTACATTTCTAGTTTATTTTTTTCCTCCATTTCTCGTTTATGAACTTGCATGATAACCGACGGGTCTCGTCCCCAATGGGTTCGGAAACCAAGTGGTGCTCTGTAACTCAATAACATTCCAATATAGTTCTGACAAATATGTGCAACATTATGTTTGTCTTATGGTACAATGCCAGACATGTCATCTACACATATCAACATATCATATACAAAGCAAGAGAATCACTGGGGGGAGTGGGTGTCTGTGATGGAATTTAACTTGCATATTCCTTCCTCAATTAATAAATGTATAACTTATTTCACAAACTTAAATCCTTATTAAATATCCATTTGCATGCATGCACAAATAATACAGACAGAAGCAAAATATAAAAATGACAATGAAGCAAAACACACACAAGCAAATGAAATGCAAATCTATTATAAAGCACACGATTGCAGATTGCCAAACATAATATGTTGACCCTGACCCTGAGATGCTTTAAACAAAGTCTATCTTGGTTGGGGATGACGAGCGACTACAATTCTGCAGCTGCATGGCCTCCTCAACCTCAGGATGACGCTTAGGGTGATACTGCCAACCGCGAAATAGATCCGACACATACATCGACTAGAGGGTTGTATGGTGTAAAAATGAAAGAATGAATGCTTTTATGTTTCTATCAGGGTCACTGCCAAAAGCTTTTCACAATAAAAATTCATGTGCTAAAATATATTACATTAATCTTCACACAAGGAAACTAATGGAAACTAACCATAATTTAAAATGACAAAATTATATTACCTCAACAGAGAAAAACTTTACAAAATACTGCATTGCTAAAATGAAGTGTGAAGAGACATGAGGTCAACTTACAATGAGGAATGCTACAGTTGTCCCAAGTAGGAAGCCAAAGAGAACATCTGACCAGTGGTGCTTGTAGTCAGAAATCCTGGACAGGCAACAGGCAAAAGTCATCATCAAACACACAAATTGCAGGAAAGGACGAACCAATCTGGGTGATTTGAATTTAAATCGCACTTGAAGGTAGATCTGAAATATAAACAGCATATATCTAACAACATTCTGTGTTAGAAAACAAGGTATTAAGTAATGTAAGCCACACTGATAATTATCTATACCTTGTAAGGACTTTAGCAAATATAAGCCAATTCTTAAGCTTAAAATTTAAATTAAGATAATATAGAATGACTCCTATTTTTATTTATTTCTAGCTCCAAGTAAGCAAATTCATCAACTCAATCATTTACAACTAAAGATGATTGCAATAATTTACAGTATTGTACTATTAAACTGCTCACTGACTTTTTTAGAAAGCAGTCAACAAGTTTGTTACTATCTGAAGAGAGGACTAAGAAAAAACATAGGATTAAGCTGTTTAAGCATGGTTGTAATGATGTAAAACACATTAGCACGAGGGAATTGAGAAATTTCAGGAGTAATAGAATAAAAGTAGAGAGGGCTACTAGAGGCCCATAAATGAATATGTCAGTGTGAGAAGAGAAACAAAGACAATTTGAGAATGAAATTGCAAATAAAACATAGACGACCCAAGCTACTCCATAGTAAGGTCAGGGGGAAGAAATAGTAAAGAACAGTTTATGAAACTGATTAGGGAAGAATATATTTACAGAAAATTATAGGGATGAAGTTAAGCCAAGCAAGCATAGGAGGACTCAGATTACCAGAGATGAAGGAGCTACTTGCTAGAGCTGGACACAACTAAGGCTGTGGGGACCAAACAGGGTTTCACCATGGATACTAAGATAGGTGGCTGAAACATCAGACAATGCTGGTTTTATTTACTAGGACATATATAACGTCACTAGAAAAAAGCGAACTACCAGAAAGAAGACAGCCACTGCGGTGGCGAGAAAGAGAGAGGAAAAAAAAAGGACAAGAAGCATTAAAATGAAGGTCACTAATTCCTTAAATGCATACTGTACTATATAGGATGATGAAAAATACCACTGAAAAGAAATTGGTAGGAAATCAAGAAAGAGAAGAGCATTTAATGCAGAACACCAGCATGGGTTTAGAGACGACAAAATTCATCACACAAACAGGAATTTTATTACAATGAGACAGAAGAATGGGCACACTACATATTTTGTGGACTGCCAGAAAGACCTTGGCAGCATACTCAATCCAGGAAAGTGCAAAGTAATGAAGCTAGATGCAGGTAACAGGAGGCCAAACACAAGTACCAAATGGGAGAGAAAGTCCCTTTCAAAATTGGAAAAAATAAAAAGACCTAGGTGTTGATATCACATCGAACCTGTTTTCCAAAATTTGCCATCAAATGGATATCATCAACTGCACATGAAAAGCTGGCTAACATAAGAATTGCCTTTAGTAACCTGACCACAGAGTCATTTAGGCACTGTTTGCTCCACACATCAAAGATATATTTTGGAACATGTGTCACTAGCGTGGAGTCCTTATCTCATTAAATCCAAAACTAAGCGAGAGATATGACACTAGACTAGTATCAGAGTCAAGATGGATGAGTTACAAAGACATATGAAAGAAATTTAACCTCATTTAACTTCAAATTTAAATTTAAAAAGTGAAAGAGGTGGAGGAGTCCATGTATAGAAGATTACATGATATTATAGTGTTATGTAAGATAAGGTTGAATGAAATGGAGGATGGCCACTCACATAGATGTAAAAGGTGAAAGTTGACAGAGAAGGGGTTGACTGATGAGTACAAAGCAAAATTTGATACGTGGGAGGTATATAAAGAATGTTTAGTCAGGATGCTAAGTTGGTGTGGTGGTTGTGTACAAACTAGTAACAGAATGAGAGGAAGTACTTGGTTGAGTATTCCTCCCATTGCTTTTGTATTGCAACACACTTTTATCCACAATTATATAATCAATTAAGGCTTTTCTTCCATTTCATCATATGCATGATGATATATTCACTTACTCTTTAAATATTATTACAAATTACATTTGTTAATTGCACATACTTACTTTGCAACTATCATCATTTATTCCTGGCACAGCATGTCTGGCCATTACATCATTCTCAGAACCTATTCTCATTGCTCTCCAGCATTCTCATGCTCTCCACTTTCCAGACAACTTCAGTACATAGTATAATACAGAAATCTTGGGAAGTGCAGAAAAAAAGTTAGTAAAACACATGGATGTAAGGTGTGCAGTAACCCACCTCATTGCCAAAAACACAACAGCCCTGAGGATTGGTGCAGTCTATCCATGCTCAACCTGCATGGATAGGTTCAACCGGAAGTTCACCAATGCACCTCCAAATTTTGTATAAAAGTGTTTGCCAACATAAACCTAAATATGAGCTTTCAAATAACATGTAGATCATGGGCCACCTGTATTGATGAAGTTAAATACTATTTAGTGCACTTACCACTAAGTATATCATTGTAAATGCAGAGAAAGAAGCATGTCCAGATGGAAATGAAAGCCGAGCTTCCTTCATTCTATGAGCATCATCTGATGTACAGGGAATGGGATCAATATAATCTTCAGTACAATTAATCTGAAAGACAACAATATGCTTCAGTTCCATTCTTCCACATGAATTTTATTTAAATTCTTATTTTGAAATTACATTTCCAACTACTGTAAACAGATGAAAAGAATGTACAAAGATTTATATGAAACAAACCTGTTTAAGACTACTAGTTATTACTTACAGTGTACCTTAGCCTTGAGTACACAAAAACAATTTAAATACAGAAGTGTACCTTACTCTAATGATATTAATGTTATATTATTTAAAATTTATCTGGGCTGATACATAGTAGAAAGTGAGAAACAGGGTAATGATATTGAAATGCATGTACCTTACTCCAGTCAGGCTTGCATACACTGACGAAGTGTGGCCTCAACCTTCCTATCGAGTACTTTGCAATGTCGGTAGATAGTTGCGAACAGGCACATCCAAAAAGGAACGCACCTATTGTGGTGTATGAGGCCCAAAACCAAGAACTAGCTTGTTTGTTACACAATATAACTGGCTTGCCTACTGCTTCTTGTCGAATCCGCCACCACTCCAACAGGCACATCTGGACCAATTTAAAGATTTTGTGAGACATTACAAAAGTTATACTGCTCAATTATTCTGCATAGACCAATACCCTGATAGCAAAAATATTTCAATTATAACTTCATGCATCTCAAAATTACTTTATTTATATTTTAATAAAAACAAAAATATATATATGGCAAACAATATTGTAAAATGTACTACGTCTATGCAGACTTTCATTTATAATTTAGAATTTACAAGGAAGGTACAGTATTGTTAATGCAGCCCTGGTGTTGATCAAAACAAACTATGATCACATCAACACATTTAGTTGTCAGTTTTGGAAACATGCAAAACATTCAAGAAACTCAGGCACATGTTCTCAACACACAGGTTTTGCAAGTCTATCATTACCTTATGTATGCAAATGAGAGAAACTTTGTGTAAAGAGTGGGTGCTATTTGTGGACACGATTAAGTACATTTGTGAATAGGAGGGTGCATTTGTAGACAAGAGTGCAATTGTGGATAGAAGTGCTAATGTGGATAGAAGTGCAATTGTGGATAGAAGTGCTATTGTGGATAGAAGTGCATTTGTGGATCGAAGTGCATTTGTGGATAGAAGTGCATTTGTGGATAGAAGTGCATTTGTGGATAGAAGTGCATTTGTGGATAGAAGTGCATTTGTGGATAGAAGTGCATTTGTGTACAGTATATATGAGTGCATTTATGGATAAAAGTACTGATGTGTAAACGATTGAATGAATGTTTTTATGGATACAGCTGAATGAATGCTTTTTTTGATATGACAATGAATGCTTTAGTGGATAGGAGGGCATGAACGAATGTATGTACAGTATATGTAACAGTATGAACACATGTTTACTTATTAGGCACATATGTATGCTATGTCAGAGTTTTAGTCAACTATTGCAACACTGTAGTCCTTATTAAACTGTAAAATCAGTCTTTCATAATGCCTGTGTCCATCAGGTGACTGTAATGATGCATTGTGAACCCTAAACTAAATTAATGCCTAAGGTGGACCAGCAATAGCTTCTTTCCTTTGGCACATTAGGAATATTAAAGCAGTACTGTAATGAATACAATTTTTTTTATATCTAATTAACGAATTTAACATGTGTTAAATAAACATATGTATGAGTATACAATATATGAAATACATATGCAAACACATGCACTTTTAAAGAGTCTGTTAAAGAGGGTACAGAGGAGGAGCATAATGCACAAACATGCAAACATGAACCAGGCGTTGCAACCAGAAGTTATAATGCCTTACAATGGCAGCTTCCCCAGCTTCACAAACATCAGGGTGCAACTTGCTCATCACTAGTTAGTAGGCCTCAGACAACCAAAGCCTGTATGGATTCAAACTATCCATCTGGTCATTAAGATACCACAAACAATATAATTGCTCACACGCACTGCCATTTTCCATGACGGAGCTAAAAATAAAATAAAAACTATCAACAGCAAAGCCTTCTTAAAAAGCACAAGGTCATCATGTTATCTGACTACTGGATCTACATTCACTGTTATCACTAACTACAGCGGCTAAGCTGATTAACACCGTAAAATGTAGGGGTTGGGGGTTTCTCTCTACACACTGGAGATCTGTTGATCTGTTAAATAAACCTTTTATACACTTATATGAGGATCAATAAGACAACTCCCTCCTTTGATCACTGTAAATAATTTACAAATTGAGCATATATCTGAACTATAATACTGAAATATATCCACATTAAAACATTGCCTCTTGTAGCACTGAAATGATTCTATTAAGTGCAAGAGCCCTTCTCTCCAAGGTTAATATTCGTGAGATTAAATGGCTCTAGACCTGTAAACCTAACCTAGCACACTACCTTTCAATGATACTAGTGCTCTATCTGTCAAACTGACCTTCACTTTAACCCTCATCTCTTTCTCACTCTCTTTTGACCATCATCCTAAAGGAAACATCTGAGCAAAATATTCAGTAACTTTCTAAATTGTCATTGTTCATCACTTATGTTTTTGTTGCATCTATTTTCTTTTAATGCCTGTATACTGTATTTTAATGTCGTAAGGAAGTTCCTTAAGTACTTTCGTATTTAATAATACATCTTCAGAAGGAGAGTTCCTTCTGAAGATGTATTATTAAATACGAAAGTACTTAAGGAAATTCCTGTTTCAATTCTTCCTTTGTGGTCTGACACTGTCACATTTTTATTCGTGTGTTAATTTTTGTGATTTACACACACATTAATTATATACTGTATACTGTATATGTAATTTTGTCTATACAATACCACTGCCAAGAGACTAGACTTTTATTTTCTAACTTCCTTCTATGCCTTTCCTCTGTCCTTTATCACTCCCTAACTTGCATTCCCAACTTTCACTCTTGCCTTCCTATTGAAATTCATCACAACCTTCCAATACAATAGTTTTGACCAACTTCTTGCTCATTTTATCACTCACAGCTCCTCAATCAGCCATTTTATATTCTTAACAAAATTTTTTTTATTTCCACTAGAGTACTTTACTTTATATGCAATATTTGCACTTTTTTTTTTTGGTTTATTACTTGCATTTCCTGCCCATCACGGATGACCTTTCACTCAGAGCGTCCCGAGTACTTTAACTTGATGCATCCCACAACTGTGCCATCTTCCATTTACTATGTTGCTCTCTCTGTTTGCAGAAGCCTATACATACTGCACAATGTTTGTAATAAATATTTAGATAAACTCTTATCACCACACTATTGGTGACAACTAGAGATGCCTCATCTTTTGCCTTTTCTTTGTACACCTCCTCCAAGCCTGATGATATTAACTACTACTTTTTTCTCAAAACATTTACCCATTATTATCTAAGTCCTCCCTGTATTGTCATGTGGTCATAGAAGGTGATGAATACACAGTGTAATAAATAGAATACAAACATCAGCATAAATTAGAACAAATTACAAATTAAATACAATTTCTCCTAGGGTTTTGAGTTGTCTAACAGTATTTGAAAATTTTAATAAGAATTTGGCAAGACAGTGATTTATTAAAGTTGTGGTATCTGTGAGCCAGGATTGGCGAGTTAGTGCTGTGCCCAGGAGTGCTGCGGTGCTCATCACATCAACAAGAACAACAATCAAGCCTCATTAAATCTTGCTCACATTTCCTTACAATAAGTGTAACAAAATATTACAACAAACATTATTTAGTCGAGCTCAAGCAAATTAACGAGGATTGAATGTCTTGGCAGGAAAGAACACAATAGGTCAAGAAGGAAATGAAGATAAACAGGGGAAAAGGATTAGGAAGGAACTAGTATAAGGATATGGAGGATATGGAAAATTCTTTTTAAATGTTCACACTTCCTGAATTTGGAAATATAGAATAATATAAATGGTACTTATATATAATGCAGTGTTTTATATATTTGGTAGATATTTACAATAAGCAATCGTCTTATGCTAAAAGCATTAAAACCTCCCCCGTGAATAGTTGCTTTGTTAATAAGCTAAATGTACATAAATCTGCAGTTTCAAGCCCCAATACTGCGTAGAACCACTCTCCCAACTTGTATTAGCCATCTTGCATGAAGGTGATATCCGTGGTTACCCCTTAATGAGAAGCATTAGTAACATAACTTTTGCCTCAGTTTAACATGAAATAAAACTCAATGATTAATTAGCCCAATTAATATAGGACAATTAAATAAAACCCCAATTATTGTTTTGACAACTTGTATATAAGCACGCACACTGCATCTATTACAGATGTAAAAAAAATTTATGGGATGAACAATGAACTCTGGGTCAGGTGGTTAGGAAGGTGGGCAAGGGCAAGAGGGAACCAACCAACTTACCGATATGGCAGGCAGAAACATGCCCACCACATAGAGCACCCCTGTGCTCACTGTGGAGTCCTTATAAGGGTAACGGAGGCTTTCGTCATCACAGTTAAACCCTCGCTCAAATGGCTTGCCCAACAGAAAGAAGAGGAGGAGAGGGATGGCCACTGGAAAACAAGAGGGACAGAAGGGACAAAAAATGAGTGAGGCAGCGCAACATTCGCTAGTTCCGCAGCATGCATGGCATCCTTCCTGCTCGCCTACTGTAAAGTGTGGGGTCCAAAGCTGTACATAGGGATCACTTCATATTAGTTTTCCTTATACCTCCCTTTCCCTTGATTATACCAGCAAACCCAGCTAGAGTGTCCTACTGCTATACTGTACTTCATTAGCTGTAAAAATATAAGTGATCCTCTATTTCCCTGAATGGCAGGAACAACAGGGCACAAAAAAAACTGATTTATATTTCAAAAGAAGCAGCAATGGGTAGCTATCTTTACTTATCCTACTGTAATCAATACTTGAAAAACACAATATGCCACAGTGAAGGTTATATATGCACTTACAAAAAATTAACTCATAAAGCATGTTTAAGTACATCTACAAAATATTGTATTTAAAAAATTATGATTATTAAAATTGACAACACAGCAGAGGATTACACTCCAGGGCCATTGTTAACAGTTATTGGGATGTAAATGGATATTACAACTCAAGCATCTACCTGTGCATGGAAGCGCTCATTAACTGTATGAGCAGTAGAATGGGAGGGGAGGAATGGGTGGACAAGCCAACTGAAACTTTGAATTGGGTGAGAGCAACATAAATATTCTTAATAAAAAATAAGCAAACAAACGACTCTGAAGGCAACACAAGTCTTATCACATGTGTGTATATCCCTGTCTTTGTTTTATATTATAACCACAAGGCTTACCAAAATAAATACATCAAAACTCCTATAAGAACATGGGCACAGAACACAGGCAAATGTGACCGTATTTTGTTCCATCTATTGATACTCCCTATATCTGGTAAAGCTGGGAAGACATACTGTAAAATATTGCAGATGAAGCATAAGGGATTAATTGTTATAGTTATTACTCATACCAAATCCAGGTGTCATGATTAGTAGCATACCAAAGACATTATGTATGTAAGTAACGGACATGCTTATTAGTGTGGCAATTTAGTGAGCATCCAAATCTAAACAAGAATAAATGATAAGAGTAAGTGGCTACAGAATATAACAAAGAAGGCTCCCAGGAAAAATGCTATTACCTGAGAAAAAATTGAGATTTGGCCATACACCTGCTAACGACTTGCTGTACTTTAGATCTCAACTCACCGAGTTTGGGCAGAAGTCTAGCCTAAATAATTTCAACACCATATGTAATTTTTCAGATTCATCTTAGAACAATGGGTTAACACTTAAAATTACCAGATAAGCTTTCCTGCCTGCAAAAACAACCTATTTTCATAATATAAGCAAATACAATACTAATAACAAAAAATAATACTTTTCAAAATTACAGAATTTGTTAAAAGGTAAACATCTAGCATAGCAAATAACTCTCATAGTCAGACATTAGCCAACTGACACTAGATAACTAATCCTAACAAGGTGGCTACAAACATCATTGTGTTAAGGTCCAGGTGGCACCATGATGCATCCAGAACATACGTGCTTCAGCGAATGTTTACATTTTACTTTACAATATGCTTCATGACCAATGCCCAAGCTGTCCTTCACTTTTGCCTACACTTGACACCTGCTGTATGTCTTTGAATTATCAATAGAAAGTATATACGGTGTAGAAATTAAGTGGTACGATATGTAACCAAACAAGAACTGGATTAACTTAATACAATACAGTATTTGTGACGCCACAAATACAGTATAAAAACAACTTGTGTTAAACACTACGAATTGACAGATACCTTAAATTTTTGTATTTTGTAATTTTGATTTGTGAATCCAAAGTACAGTACTGTACTTACTACAGCTTTCTGAAGTGAAATTATTGCCATTGAGGTATAGGAGCTCATTACAGTTTGAGAGTAAGCCTTCTGACCAAGCTAAAGTTTCTGTCCTGGCAATATGCTGCTTCCTCAGACAGATGTCACATAAAAGACATACACTAGAGCAATTTACTTTGAAAACATGTAAACTGGACTAAGGACACATTTTCTTTATAATTCCAAACTACTAAATACCAAACTACAGTACTAATTTAAAGTAGAGTCACCTAAAACATAATTGCCACTGTAACTGCGTTGCCATAGTTTCTCATACTTTTCATATTCATTTAAAAGCCATATTTCTATACATATGCATTTAATTTTTCCCTTAAGCTGTCAGAAACAAATGAAAGAAAACAAAACATAAAACAGGAGAACTTGCCAAAGTGCATCAATTTGTTGACTGAAGCTGATGGAGGACTAATGGAACGAGTCTGCCCTATAGAACACATTATCAATGCAAATGGGGAAATTTTTGTAAATCTCTCTCCACAAAATTTCAATGGGTCATCCAAGTTTCAGGCACTGATTTCAGCACAACAGCTAAATATATGGCCTTACAGTTATCAAAATTGTGAAAATCATAGGCTCCATGGAAGGCCAGTGTCTCTAAAATGATTACAACATGCAGAACTCTCAGGGAAATAGATATACTGTATTAGACAGAAAGACAATTTAGCATGGGTGGTGTTCACACAAAGGGACACAGTTGGAAACCGAGTACCCAAATAAGCCATGTAAAGACAGACATTAGAAAGAATATGCTGTGTCAGTAGTTAACACAGAGAATACACTAGGAAGCGATGTGGTGGAGCCAGAGTCAATACATAGTTTTAAATGGAAAATATTATAGAGCCCAATAGATTCCTGAACTTGTACACCAGACGACCGACAGTCGAGAGGTGGATCAAAGAACCAAGGTTCAACCCCTTGCAAGCACAATTAGGTGAGTATATAAAAAATTTAATAGAGTCAGATGTTTCATGTGAGGACTGTAAGCAGCCTTAATAATTTAATTCCTCCAAAAACTTCAGTATAGTAGTGTATTCTGCTTTTTACCTAAAACCTAAAACTGCTGTGTTTAGGTGTAGCCACAGAAAAAAATAAAATCGCCACACAAACCTTGGAATGTTTCCTATTAGGATGTAGCAGATCTTAGCTTAGGCAATAACCAAATGCAATTGTTCAGAAAAGCTCCACCATCAATTAGACTATAGTACCTGAG